TTGTATTTCCCAGCCTCATCATTAGAACGTGAGCTCCTTGAAGACAGGAATTGGGTTTGGGGGTTCCCCCCCTTTCTTTGTATCCCCCAGAGCTTAGCAAAGTAGCTGGCTACTTCACTAAGCTGATGGCATGACAACCAGGGTTCAAAAATCTAAGGACAGTGGGAAAGTTACAGCCACAGAGCTGGTATTGGAAAAGACGAACCTTTAGGAACCATTTATCAGGTACTCTGCCTCTCTGTTGCCTTTCTTCAGCGATCAGGCCTCTCTCTCTCTTAAATGAAACTCCCACTTCCAATTAAGCTCAGGATTGAGCGTATTCTTTGGAACTATTAACTCAGGACACTATTCCAGCAGAGAGGGACAGACTGGGGGAGGGGAAAAGCCCTTCTGCTCTCATGAATCTCTGCCAAGCTTCCTGATCCTTTGGAAGAGAGTAGATGTGGTGGAGAGGAAGACAGCTCAAAAGACCGTAGGCCCAGCACTGATGGCCTCAAAGGCTGTCTATAGAGTCCAAGCCCCTCACTTTACAGATGAGGAAACCGAGGCTCAGGGAGTTTAAGTGACTGGCCCAAGAGGGGTTTTGGATAAAGTGCCCCTCCCTTCCCACTAATCAACTAGGTATCCTTCTTTTTAGAACATTAGAATCTAGGCTCCTTGAGGGCAAGGAATAGTTTTTTTCGCCTCTTTTTATAACCCCAGTGCCAGGCCCATTTTTGTTGATCAGTCATTTTCAGTCATGTCAGACCCTTTGTGAGCCATTTTCTTGGCAAAGGTACATGGATTTGAAGTTAGGAAGACCCGAATTCAAATTTCACCTCAGACATTACTAGCTGTGTAACTCTGGGCAAGTCATTTAACCTCAGCCTCAGTTTCCCCTTCTGTAAAATGAAGGTCCCTTCCAGTTTTAAATTATGATCTGGGCTCCCCTTCTGCTCTTGTCCTTGGTTTGTGCTGTATATGTTTGAGGTTTTTCTTTTTTTTTAAATAAAATCTTCTCTGATAAATCTTACATTCATTTCTCCACATCTTCATAGGAATTCTTGGAGGTGGAAAGGAATCAGGCTTCCCCCATCAGACCAGGAGCTTCCTGAAGGCTTGAAATACATCTCTTCCCCTCTTCTTTTTCAAAACAAACCATTAGACAATCTAGATAAATCTTTTCCCAAAAGAAGAAAGGGACTATAGGCATGGAATATTTTACATATTTTCAAATAGTTGGTGTTGATGGGTTTTGAGAAATTATTTCCTCCCCCCCCACCTTTTTATTCTTTGTTAAAAGGATGGCTCAGAAATGAAGGTAATATAAAAACAAAAGATGTCCAAGAAAATAAAATACAAAGAAACTGTATCTACAGTATTCACCTGATCTACCAGGTCAAAATATTTGGCATGATCCATTCTGGGTCAAGCCATGCAGGTACTCTGTGATTACCTTATCCTAAAAGGTACCAGGCCTGAAGTCTGAAAGACTCATAATCCTGAGTTCAAATCTGGCCTCAGACACTTACTAGCTATGGGACCTTGGGCAAGTCACCTAACTCTGTTTCCTCATCTGTAAAATGAGCTGGAGAAGGAAAGGGCAAATGACTCCAGTATCTTTACCCAGAAAACCTCAAATGGGCTCACAAAGAGTCAGACTTGACTGACTGAGCAACAATGCTAGATGTGGATTACCATCCCTGTAATAATATATTCTAGAATTTTGTCAGGATTCAAAGTCAAACTCACTGGCCTATAGTTTAAAATGTCTTTTTTTCTACCCTATTCCACCCCTTCCCCCTTTAAAAAATTATAGAAAAGGAGTTATGGCTTTATCTGTCACTCTCTATGAAGTCCTCAGGAATTTATCCAGTCAATTGGAACAGGGGACAGAGAATGGAGTTTTACAAGTCACACTGCAACCATCGTAACAGCCAGGGTTAGATCCCTACATTCCCTGGGAAAGGACCAGCAACAATGGAAAAATATATACTTATACTATGTGCTTCATAGGATTGTTTTGAAGAATGGCCTTTATTAAAAAACCTCTGTAAAGTGCTTTATCTATGTGAGCTATTATTAAGATATCTAATGGTATATGTTCAAATTCCGTAGAGGAGCTATAGATCAGGTCACAGCTACCAAGAAGGAAAGGAAAAGCTTTCTTCAAGGCAGGTCAAGATTGAGAAGCAAAGCATAGTTTATCATTCCTTTTACACTGACCCTAGTATCTTCCTTAGCCCCTTCCCCAACACTCCACCCCCCCAAAAAACACAACAAAGCAAAGCAAAATAATCCTAATGTTCAGGATTTCTCAGGGTTATTATAAGCACTCTCTGTCCTTTCTTCTACCTCCTCTAAAGCTTTAGAGCTGGAATGGATTTTGCTAGGAAATGGATCCTTAACTGTGAAACACATTTGCATGTTATCTGGGGGCTCCAAGGGACAGACTGAATGGCTTATCCTAAAGGAAAAATTGCCCCAAGGTCAATAAAAGAAAAAATTGGGAGAAAAGGCCTGATACCTTTAAATCACAAAACCTATGCCATTTACATGCTCAGGACTATTCCTTACCAACAATTCCAAAGAACAGTTTTCTGGATCCAGTGAGTTTGCAATTCACACCAGATGCACCAGCAAAGGGCCTTTCTCCTCATCATCCTTTCTGGCAGCTTTTCCCTCTCCCTCCCCTCGGAGCTAATTCATTAGGATTAATCCCCAGGAGATTTCCAGAATGCTAACAGAGCCTAAATTCTGGAAATAGAACTCTCCATCCCGGGAGTTTCCACTGTCATTTTAACTTAATTCAGCCCCCACCAACGCGGCTTTCAGCAGGGGTCCAGGTTTCTCTCTCCCCTACTCTTTCCCTCGGGTTCTTAAGGGGCAGTTTCAGCCACAACACTGAGTCCGTTCACTGTAAGCAAGGCGTTTGGGGCTGGTTTGCATTAAGTAGTTCACTCATTTATCCACAGTGGGGGGTGGGAATGGTGGGGATGCTCGAGTGGATTTTACAGTGAATAATCAAGAATTATTGTTAAATTTTAGCACATTCCAAAAATCAGATGTAATTTACCTCCAGATTCTTTGCACTCTTTGAATGCACACAGACTGACAGCAGTAAGAGGTACTGAGAAAGAGGCTATGGATCAAGTTTTCCCCTAGAGAGTCCACAAAGTAGGTAATATAAAACTGAATAGGGAAATTTATACACAGATCCTCAACTACGTCACTTGCCCTCCTAACTTTCTCCCTTTGCCTCTTCAAACACTTAAATCTGTAACTGAAAGGCTGGGAGTTACAACTGGAAAGAATTGTCACCTCAGATCAGCTAAACTGGACTATACCCAGTCATGGGAGAGGCAACTCTATAGCATTTGGCGTTACTGATCTTACGCACACACAGCACCCTCATGTTTATTTCTCCTCCTAAAAGCCTTATTATTATGTCTTTTATATCCTTAGAGGCAACAAGGCACTTAGAGGATATAAGGCTGCTGTTGGAGTCAGGAAGACATGAGTTTTTCCTATGACATTTGCAAAGCAAGGGCCCCTTGGCTGTGAGATCAGGAGCAAATCACTTCGCCTTTCAGGGCTCCAAGCAGAGAAGCCAACCTGCGTTATTGGTAGGAGTTTCCATACCAGGAAAGGAGGCCCTTATAAAGGTGAAATCACAAGTCTTGACTCCCCACCTCCCTTCGGAAAAAAAAAAAAAATTCCCTTACACATGGAAGCCAGGTGGATTATTTTAAGCTACAGCAAACACCTTCAAACTTTCTCTTTCAAGTCGACTCAGTTCCGACCCCAAAAACGTAACCTAAGACTTCCCACGCTAGAGTCACCTAATACATAAGACGGAGTTTGAAGGAAGGAACCCGAATCTAAAGTAAGTTTCCTGGGACTGTGGTACAAATCATACTCATACTCAGCCTCACTCGTTAGAAGACAGGAAAGCTCACTCCGGTACCACTCCCTACCCCTACAACCAGCAAGCAGCAAGCATCTCCTAGTCTCTCTCCTCCCACTAACCTCTCCTGGGCTCATCTTATAGGAACAGCCACACACTCCAATTCAATTGCTCAAGAGCCAACACCTCCTAGTCAAAGAACGGGCAACCGGTTTCTGTGGTAAGATTGCCTCTCCCTTCCTCCCTAGGCGGTTTTTGGAATTTTTAAAGTGTCCCATTAAGCCTTGAGAGAGGAGGGGTGAGCGCCATGGAGCTGAAGCCTCCGAGAAACCACTCACATTGTGAGCAAAAAGAAAGGCGCGTTTCCAGCGGGAGCGCAGCCTCTGCAGGAAGAGGGTATCTCTACTTGTAGCGAACGCAGAACTGAACCCGCAGCGCTCCGGAGAAAGGAGGGCGGAGGAGCTTTGGAGAAGTCTCCGAAAAGAGGAGAGGATGGGAAAGGAGAGAGCTCTGTGACCTGCTTCAGCACGGTTCTTCAGCTCAATCTCAGGAGCGAGATGGAGTGGGGAAATTAGCTCAGGGACTCAGCCCAAAGGAGACGACCCCACCCCCATTCCGCGCAGCCCCCAGCCCCCTAGAGCCCGCTTTGCAGACAGCGGCGTCGCAGCTCCCTCCTCCCCGTCGCCGCCGCTTCCTTTGTCCCGATCTCTCTGCAGAGGGGCCCGGGGCTGCAGAAACAAAGAAGACCACCCCACCACCCACCGCGACCGCTTCTAGCGTTGCAAGCACCCACCCACCCTTTGCACCCGCTTCGGGAAAACTGTGCGCTCCCACCCTGGCATTACGCGTCGCAGCACCCAAGCCCGAAGGTGCCTCGCTCCCCCCAACCCAGCCCGAGCTCGTCATTATGCACGGTTCCTCGCCTCCCCCGTCCACCTCGTCAGTGCGCGCGCGATTCTTCCCAAGCCTGACACCCCGCGCCGCCCTTCACCACCCTCCCCCCTCCAAGGCTGTGCCCTGCCACCACTCCCCCTCTGGTCTCCGCCACCGTGCGCTCCGTGGGACAGTTGCTAGAGCCCCCCGCCGTCCCCAGTCTCTCGCGCGATGCGCTCACCATGGCGCTGCTTAGACGCGGCCACCCTAGTGCTACCTCCGCCCCGGTGGCTCAGTCCCAGCCGTGCACCATCCCGGGAGGGGCGGGGGCCTGGGCGGGGGGGGAGAAAGGAGGGACAAAGCAGACCGAAAACTGCTCTGCGGCGGTGAAGCCGCCCAGCCCCGCCTTATGGGGGGGGGGGGGGCGGGGGGGGGCTGGGGCATCTGCCAATGAGAGAGCAGTGCCTGTGACCAACGGCGAGAGAAGCTCGGCTGGGATTGCGATACGGGGTGAGACAGTCACATGGGCTCCGGGAGAGAGGGGGTCTGAACGCCCGAGTTGGAGTGTAAGAGCTGGGGGCGGGAGGCGGAGCTGGGAGAGAGGAAAGACGCTGGGGCTGGGGCTGGGGGAGCTCTGGAGGGAGGAGGGGCTGGGGCTGCTGGAACAATAGAGCAAAGAATTTCTGGGGAAGAGGACGAGGAGGAGAAAGGGGGTGGTGCTGAAAGGGGGGGCACGCCGTGGAGGAGGGACAAAAGACCAAATTGTACATTTTACTGGCCCCAGGCCAGGGGAGGCGTGGCTGGTTATCAGGTAGTTAGCATACACATACACATACAGTTTACGGCACACTCTTACTGTTCCTATAGATCTATGCAGACCTTCCTGATAACAAATAACTAGGAGGATAAGGGGTTCCTCCTGACCTGAGGCAGAAAGACGGGAGGAACTGTCTGCTTTGCGAGGTCAGCCAAAATCTCCCCGCCACCGGGCCCCTAGGGTGAGTAATATAGTTCCTTCTCGTCCCCTTTCACAAAGGGATTTTCCTTTAGTTTCTCACCTCCTTAGCCCTTACATGCCTAGTGGGGAACAAGAGAAAGACAGAAACCACACTGGAGGTCACTGCGGGATACCGTGGAGATAGGAGTAAAGCGTGTTGTAGAGAGATTGGTATTTTCAGAATTTATGATTTTGTGAGGACTAGTCAGAGCTTCATTACGCGGATTACAGGATAACCAGGTGAAACTTTACAGTCAGAAGGCCCCAAATTCCCCTCACTCTCCCCTCCCCAGATGCTGATCTCAGGTCTGCAGCTAGCTTCAGTGCATGACCTTGGACAAGTCACTTATCTTCCCTGGGGACGGTTTCCTCCTCTTTAAAATGAGAGTACTGGATTGGATGATCTCAAAGGCTGCTTCCTGCTTTGGCTTTCTCTATAAATCCCAGTGACTCAACCTTTATGGTTGATGGTTCCTGCCAGGTACTGCTATCATCCTTTGTTCCTCCCTTGAGGATTGTATCATGTGAGAGAGTTCCAGGCTGTTTGGAAGTAGTTCCACCAATGACTGATTTCTTATCCTCTCTCACATGGATGGGGAGAGGTGAGTGTTATATGCAAAAAGAGGTAGAAGGAAATCAGTAGGGCTATCTTCGTCATCCCCACTGGGAAGTAGAAGCCAGGAAAGAACAGATCCCCACTTCTTTTTAGAAACACAGATACCTCTCCTTTTGAGGGAATTATAGTTGTTAAATGGGGCCTTCTTTCTTCTGAAAGTAGATCTGTACGGGGATAGGCAGAGTAAAACTGTAATCTCTGGTATATAATTTCAGGGGTGGTAGAAAAGAAGCTGGAGGTCAAAAGAGGAGGGGAAATAGTAGTTGGTTAGAGGAATTAGAGGAAATTTGGGGAGTATCAATTTAGTCTGGATTCTACTCAAAGGGTCCTGAAAGCCAGTTTCTTCATAATGTTTCTAGACAAGCTGGACATCTTTCAGGAGACAGGGTACTTCAGAACCTCCTCTTGCCCTTGGAGCCCAACTTCAGTGGAAATAGGAGAGAAGCCTCTGGGCTGAGTTATTGCGGAGGATATGGGAAGTTACCCTAGGCAAAACCTCAAATGGAAAAGAGCCTAAAGGCTCTTAGGAGTTCCTAAAGAGTCCCCAGGCAGAGGGGAGAAGGAGTCAGGCTTCCTTTGGCTTTAAAAGTCTCAGAACTAAAGTAGAGGAGTGAGACAGAATGAAGAGAGGTTTTCAAAACTGAGAGAACCCCTTATCTTTGATTCACAAGGGATGAAAACCCCACATTATCCAAAGCAGCCACTGAAGTAGGAGTTTATAACTCTCCAATATCTTCCAATAGAAATTGCTTTTGGGGGAAACAACATAGGAAAGGCTCACAAGAATGATTGTGAGTTCAGAGGACTGACAGGAAAGTATGCCTCTTATAAGAGGTGGTAGCAGAATGTGGCATATTTTTTCAGACATAACCAATGTCATGGAATCATAGATTTAGGGACCTTTGAAGTCATTTAGTTCAACTCCTTTATCTTACAGATGAGGAAATGGACAAAAGAGGTTGTGACTTGCCCAAGGTCACACAGGTGACAGAGACAAATTTCGAACCCATATCTTCTGACTTCAAAGCCCTTTCTACTGTCAGAGTATAATTTTAAAAAAGGAATATAATTCCATTGTTATTTCCTCTTCCAAAATAAATCTGTGCTGGTGTATTTTGGTTAACTGTATTTTGTTATAAGAGACGGTTCTATGGGGAAAGTGAAGTTATAGCAAAGTGACAGTAGTAATGTTAGAAAGAAAAAAAGACCATTAAGACAACTTTTTTTTTTAAAATAAAGGAACTACTTTTGAAAGAACAACTAGGGAGATCTGTGCATCAGAATTTCAAGAGAGCAGAAAGAGTAGAACTCTCCAGACTTGAATAAATCCCTTAGACGACTTCAAAGTTTCCCAGTTTCCTTTTCGATTTGGCTTTCCCCCTCTCCTTCCTCTGGAGTTCGAGGAAGGAACTGAAACAGGTTCTTCCCACAAAGCCAGTTCTCTTTGAAAAGGCTTCTGAAGCACAAAACCTCCCCCAGGGTTAGGCTACAGTGGACTCAATCCTTTGCAGAGCCTTTATTAGTGGTGTGGACACCAGGGTGCAGTGCTCCCTGGGCAGATTCATGCAAGCCTGGCACAGTCATAGAATTATAAGATTTTTAATCAGGACAGGACCTTAAAAATCATTCAGCTTAATCTTCATTTTACAATGGGGAAACTGAGGTCAAAAGGACTTGCTCAAACCATGTAACTAGTTAGAGGCAGAGCAAGTACCCTAACTCAGGCTTGCTGATGCTCTCTTTGATGTAGGACAATGTAGTGCTATTCCCAAAAGCTAAAGAACAGAGGGATAGGTCACCTTAGTTCAACATACCCTGGATCCTCACAACAACCTCATGAGATAGGTACTTCAGATATTATTATCCACATTTTACAGATGAGAAAACTGAGATTCAGGGAGTTTAACTGAGCTAACCAGGGCCACACAGCTAGTAAGTGTCAGAGCCAGCATTTGAACTCAGGTTTTCCTGATTTCTATTTTAGTGTTCTACCTATTATGAAAGAAATCTTGGAGGAGTAGCTAGTGAGCCACAGGGCCTTGGGAGAGATAGGAAGGGGAGGTGGAAATTACAATCTTCCCCTCCGCCCCAATACACACACCATAGATGGGCCTAGAGGCCCATAGGACTTCATCAATCTTCCCTTGTGGCTCATTACTATTTCATAAGGACTGAGTAAGCTATGGGCCAGCCTCTATGCAGAAGAGTTCTAGGATACGGTGCCTAGCCTCAGAGTAACAGATGTTCTAAGGTAGCCAGATGTATATCTTATATAAGAAACTTGTATCAGCAGCCTGCAAATCTTTCCATGCCTAAGTCAATGGTCTTTTCATAGTGAGTGCCCAGTAGTGTTTGCAAACTGATATATACCCCATGTCTCTTGGGAACTATTGGTCTCAGCGTCAGCTAGGGGAAAGGGCAGCAGGGCCCCGCGTCCTTTGTTTCTGGCAAACTCCATTCTCTTTGAAGAGAAGCAATTTCTCCCCCCCCCCCCCCGCTCCCTGGGGACCCTCACCTTTCCTGTCCTCCTCTTATAGGTTTGGCTTTACACTGTGGGTCACACACATCTGGCATTCTGTGGCCAGAGCAGCTCTGGCTGCCAAACACAGTCACGAGGTCCTGATGAGCTGACAGGAATCAGTCACCAGGTCTTGGGTAAAGGCTGCCAGAAGGCTAGAATTTAGGAGAAAGAAAGGGTTGAAGCTCTGCATCTCCAGTTATATCAGGACAAGAAAAGGAGGAAGGAGGATGGTGTGGGATGGAAGGAAGGATGTATTTGCCCCCTCCCATGTCCAGATTCCTATGAAGCTGTTGACCAAATGTTCCCTTCTGTAGTGCAATGGGAGGAGAGAAAACTCACAAGCCAAGGGGAAAAAAAAAGAAATTCAGCAGCAATGGTATATGGGGCAGGGGCAGGGGAGAAGTAAAAGTAGGGGGAAGATGGTGAGCCTCGAGTTTGGCCAACTGAACACAAGGAGAATTGATTTCAGAGGGAGACTCCAAAAGGCAGGCTGGACCAATTCCCGGGAAGCCAGATTCTCTCCTGCTGTTCTCTACCACTGCACCCCCATCCCCCACTGGAAAAAGGACAAAAAGTACCAGTTATCCCTCCAAGTTTCATTTCATAATAGATAGAACACAGAAATTGAAATCTGGAGAACCTGGATTCAGATGTAGTTCTGACATTTAGCTAGCTGTGTGACCCTGAGCAAGTAATTTAACTTCTCTGAGCCTCAGTTTCCTTATCTGTAAAATGGAGATAATAATGCCTGAAGTATCTTTCATACAAGGTTGGTGTGAGGATCAAATGAAGTGGTTATGTAAGATGCTTTGCAGATTTTAAAAGACTATTAATGGCCATCATGATACTTTTCTCTCTTCTATAGAACATTTCCAGACACATTTCCTAATACTAATAATTTTTGTTCAGTCGTGTCTGACTCTTTATGACCCCATTTGGAGTTTTCTTTGCAAAGATGCAGGAGTGGTTTGCCATTTCCTTCTCCAGCTCATTTTACAGATGAGGAAACCGAGGCAAACATAGTTAAGTGACTTGCCCAGGGTCACATAGCTAGTAAGTGTCTGAGGCCACATTTGAACTCAGGTCTTCCTTTCTCCAGGGCTAGTGCTCTATACACAGCACCACCTACTTGCCCTTATACTAATAATATTAGCCAGCATTTATATAGCACTTTAATGTTTGCAAAGTGCTTTACATATATTACATCATTTGATTCCCACAACAACCTTATGAGATAGGTGCTACTATTTTCCCTCTTTTATGGATGAAGAATGTGAGATAGCATTTTAACTGTCTTCTTGACCAGATCCAGTGCTTGGAGTCCATTGTACCACCTAGCTTTCTTTTCCTTTTCCACTTCTAAGGGCCCAACTCTGCCTTAGAAAGCTTCTCCACCTTAGCTTTCCCCTTTGTCCTTGACAAGAAAGAGGTTCCTAGATACTAATTATTTGGAGAAAATAACAAAACAGGATAATCTCATTATGGGCTCCCTAGATGTTGGAGTTCTGTACAGATAGTTTCTCTGCAAAAAGTTGGAGACAACTCTTGCCTCCTTCTAAGTAGGTCTGAGGCTGTCAGACGGAAATGGGTCTGGGCTAGGGTTCGAGTTCGAGTTGTCTAGATAGAAAGATATGGGGGCAGCTAAGTGGTGAAGTGGATAGAAGCTTGGAATCAGGAAGACTCATCTTCCTGAGTTCAAATCTGCTTCAGGGGGCAGCTAGGTGGCACAGTGGATAGAGCACCGGCCCTGAAGTCAGGAGGACCTGAGTTCAGATCCGGCCTCAGACCAAATACTTGACATGTACTAACTGTGTGACCTTGGGCAAGTCACTTAACCCCGAATGCCCCCCTCCCCAAAAAAATCTGCTTCAGGCTCTTATTAGCTTCATAAGTTACTTAACTCTGATTGCCTCTCCTCCCCCCCCCAAAAAAAGAAAGAAGGAAATGGGAACATTGGTTCATTCTCACCCCATTTTCTGCTTTATAGAGGACAGAAACTAGATTTTTGTGCTCCCTTCACTCTGTATCTCTTCTGTGTCTGATTTCAACTCCGCGAAACAAGATGCCCCCTAGAGCCACCCCTCCCCAGCCCTTTCCTGCCTCTTTTGCTGTGTGTTGTTCTCCTCTCCCATTAGATTGTAAGCTCCTTCAGGGCAGGGACTGTCTTTTTTTTTTAATTAGATCCCTACCACTTAGCACAGTGGCTGGCACATAGAAGGAACTTAATAAATGTATTGGATTGGGGTTATTAAACCTGCTGAACTCCTAGACCCCTCCCTGAAGCTAGCATATGGATGTGCTCTACATCCATATGATGCCAGGCATATGATCTAGCAACTCAGTCTGCTACTGCTCCCTCCTTCCCTCCTGATATACATGCTGCCTTTCTTGAGGGAAGATGACTCACCATCGTTAATCAATTGTTCTTTTCTAGTCATGGTGGACTCATATTGAGTCATCTACATTCTCTCATTCTGCCCCCCTTGTGATGAATGACACATATTTGTAACATTGTGGATGGATTAGAAGTCAGCCTGATCTTTTTTCTGTGCATGGCTGACTGTCCTGAATGGAGATCAACCCCACTCAACCTTGGCTTCATTAACATAGTCTCCAGCCATTTTGTCCATTTCCAAGTAAAAATAATGATTAAGAACCCTTTGTTGACTCTCCTCCCTGCCACGTGAGGCTTGTCTGGGCTTCTTTTAGAATGGGGAAGGGAAAGGAAAGGGATAGGAATAAGCATTTTATGTAGCTTCTCCTATGTGCCAAGCACTGGGCTGGTCTCAGTATTAATTTTTTAAAAATTATATTAATTAATTTTTATTTGTTTATCTTTATCTTATCTCATTTGATCCTCATAACAACTGTGAAATATCTGCTGTTGTTATCCTCATTTGGTAGTTAAGGAAACTGAGGCAAACAGAAGTTAAGTGACTTGCCCAGGGTTACATAGGTAGTAAGTGTCCAAGGCTGGATAGGGATGGCATTCATGCTGGAAAAGAATGATTAGCCTCAATGGGTTGAGATAATATAAAGACGAAGATTAAAGTGAGCCAAACCAGTAGAGCGCTATCTACTGTAACGTCAGTATTATAAAAATGAACAATTGAAAACTTTAATAAACTGAGGGAGAATGGAGTGAGCAGATCCAGATCAATTTGTACAATAACAATGCGATAAAGACATTTTTGAAAGCCGCAAGAACTATAATCTATACAATAACTATCCACGATTCCAGAGGTCCTGTGAGAAAACATACTGATCACCTCTCACAATGAAGTGAACGATTTAGGGTACAGAATGAGACATACATACACACACAAACATATATATTAACTGTATGCACGTGTATGTATAGGCATATGTATATGTATAATCAAGGGATGTATGGGATGTTCAGGAAGGGCTAGCACCTCTGGTGTTCAGGGTTGCTCATCTACCTTTGATGTCTACCTGGCACCTAACTCTCACCAGTGGTTCCAAGAAGCTGTAGCATGAGCAGCAGCCACACCTTAGTAAAACTGTCTTAGACCAGGTTGAAGATAATGGACAAGTCTCAAACTCCTCAGTGAATTAGGGGATGTCTGCCCCAATCATATGAAGACTTCCCTGGGCGGAATGGGTAGATGAGAACAATTTGTTCCAGCGGCCATGAAGGCAGCAGAAACAGGCACTGTGATGCATCAAAGATTGCCAAGGTCATCTACTACATCCTGAGCTATCGCCGGTTGTCTTGACTTTTGTCCTGCCACTGGACTTCAGTGACTCTGGATGAGAGAGTGAAGCTGACGACTTTGTGCAACTCCTCCTCACTCAAATCTAATTCACCCATGAGTCAAGACATCATGGTGACCATGATGTCATTGGTCCCTTTTGAAAATGAAGGACAAACAATGACCACAACATGTATAATCAAGCAACACAAAACCTCCCATTGGTTTCATATACACATAAATATACATATACACACTGTATTGGCTGTATGCATGTCTGTGTGTGTGCATGTGTGTATTTGTGTGTATATGTATATATGGGGGGATAGAGTAGAGAGAGAGAGATATGTATACAACCAACGAGGGATTTTGTTTTACTTGAGGATAAATATTACAAAAAATTTGTTTTTCCTTTTTTTCAGTGGCTTAGGAGGATGGGAGTTAGAGAAAACAGATTTGTGTTACTTATTTTAAATACAGAGAGATGGGGGAGAAGGGGAACTACAGATGTGGAATGTTCCATAAACTCTCAGAGGAGGTCATTATATTGCAAGTTTTTGCTTAATTGTTTTACTTTGTTTTATAAAAGAACTCCAACAAAGGGGTAATCTATAAATGTTTGTAATATAAAAACAAAATACATCAGTAAAACCTAAAAAGTAAAGACCTAAAGACAGTCCATTGACTCAGACCAATGGACTAATAATGTCTGTCAGGGTCCTCCTCCTCCTCTTTTGCCTTCCTGTCCCCATACCCCATTCCTAGCCCTGCTGAAGGATACTCAGAATCCTTATTTCACTTCAATCCTTAGTCCATTCACTCCCTTCCTAGCGGTATTGGGTTATTCCCCTCTAGGGGGAGTTGAAAGAGAAGTTATCAAATCCACATCTCACATTTTACAGATGAAGAAACTGAGGCCAGAGAGGTGAAGACTTTTCCAAAGTCACACTGGTCAGCCTTAGCAGAGCCAGAATTTAAACCCAGGTCTTCTAATACCAAGTCCTTCTATGCCAAGACAGATCTTCCCTCGCCTTTTCAGTTGGTCCTCCTGTGGCTGAGGAAGATGGAGCCCTGCAGTCATATGCCAGAATGTTCAGGTTCCTGAGACCTGTCCCTCCCTATATGATTTCCTTTCTTGGATATGTTTGTGTTATTGCTTCAGCCTTTTGCTTCCAGGGTGGGAGTGTGACCAGTCCTTGTTCGCCCATTTTCACTGAGAATAATGGTGCTTGCCTGACAAACTAGACAGCATCCAGGAAGGGAACAGGGCCCTTGTCCACTCAGGGAGAATGGGTAAACCCAGCTCTCTCTTCCTGCCCACCCCCAAGGCTGATGGTTCCACTTCTCCAGCTGTCATTCATTTCCTTTTCCTCTCCTTGCCCCCCATCAATGTAGCATGAAATTCCACGTCAGTTCTTGTCATGGCAAATGTCATGATTGATCATTGTGTCCCCAGGGCCTTCCCAAATCCAGTCTGTCCTTGGGGAAGCTTGAAAAATGCCTGTTGTCAGTGAGAGGGCAGCATTTCTGAAACCAGGGCTCCTGTGTCCAGTGGATAGGCTAGCTTGGAACAGGAGAGCATGGTTCACATCACCTCTCTTAACTCTGGGCAGCATGTTGTGGTAGATAAGGCATCGGATTTGAAGTTAGGAAGACCCGAATTCAAATTTCACCTCAGACATTACTAGCTGTGTAACTCTGGGCAAGTCATTTAACCTCAGCCTCAGTTTCCCCTTCTGTAAAATGAAGGTCCCTTCCAGTTTTAAATTATGATCTGGGCTCCCCTTCTGCTCTTGTCCTTGGTTTGTGCTGTATATGCTTGAGGTTTTTCTTTTTTTTTTAGTAAAATCTTCTCTGATAAATCTTACATTCATTTCTCCGCATCTTCATAGGAATTCTTGGAGGTGGAAAGGAATCAGGCTTCCCCCATCAGACCAGGAGCTTCCTGAAGGCTTGAAATACATCTCTTCCCCTCTTCTGTATCCTCTTTATGGTGCCCAGGAAAGGGTTCTTTTTGCAAGTGGGGAAGGGAGAAGAAATACTTTCCTCTTGATAAAATCAATGTTCAGAGGTGGTCTGGGTTGCTCAGAGTTAGAAGAGGACCTGGATGCCAGAAGATTCCTCCCAAGAATTTCCTGAGACCTGGAGAAAATTCTCATTCCTAGAATGACTCAAGAGGCAGAGGAATTATCCTGAGATCACCTGGAGACCTGCAGGCAACAGGAGAAGGGAAAAGAAGATTAATCTGATAAGACCATGTCTACTCAAGTAAAGAGACCTGGCATGTACATAGCTATCTTGGTTAGTTTTGGGGTTTTTTTTTTGTTTTTGTTAGGCAGTGGGGTTAAGTGACCTGCGCAGGGTCACACAGCAAGTGTTATGTGTCTGAGGCCGGATTTGAACCCAGGTCCTCCTGACTCCAGGGCCGGTGCTCCATCCACTGCACCACTTAGCTGCCCCTGTCTTGGTTAGTTTTAAAAAACACCCTTGGAATCTCCTTGCTTTCCCAGGAGGCAGATTCACCCATTTTCTTTAGGGTAAGCATCATAAAGGTTATACTTTGGTAGGGTGAAAGGCCTTGCGTCTTGAAAGGAAATCTGCCCTTTTAACAAACTTAGTAAGGCCTAAGCAGAGACAGGAGGGAGATAAGGTAGGTGGGACCTCAGAAGAGTCAGGGAAGACCTGTGCAAGAAGGGAGTTTAGAAGCTGAGTTAGGGATGTCTAATGAGATTTTAGGACTAGCAATTCTTTTCTTTCTCTAGCCTAGGAAGAGGTGGTAGGGTAGATATTACAGCTTGGGAAAGAGACTGAAACAAATGTGAATGGAGAAAGTCCTTGGGGAAGGTGACTTTGATGGATGAAACCTGGGATCAAATAACTTCTTTGCCAGTGAGCACCCCAGAATGAGCAGACAATATTTTCTTCAGTCCCTGGGTCCCTTCTCATATACATAGGGGCTTATGGGTAATGATATTGATGTCTTTGGACCAAGCAGGATGAATGAATATCCTAGAAGTGAAATGAAACAGCAATAATCCACCAGGGTTTGCTTCTGCTTCCAGATAAATCCAGCTGGACTGGGGCCTTTGTAGAGAGAAGTCACTTCATCTTGTATATATATATATGTGTGTTCTGGAATATTGTCTACAGATGACAGAATACTTTTTTCTGTATACAAGGGTTCGTAAGTGCTCATTTGAAATAGGCAAGCCTTGGCCATCATTCCATCTACCCTAGGTATTTGTGTTCTTGGGAGGGAGAACCTTCGAATTTCCCTGTCTTTATTTCTTTGTGCATATATTAATAGGTAGTATGGAGTGAAAAGAGCATCAAACAGCATCAGATGAAACTTGCATTCAAATCCTGCCTCTGACACATACTCTGACAGATACCCCCAAAAAGTACACATGATACATTTTAACCTGAACTTGAACTTGAACTTGAAAGTGCTAAATAAATTAATGTTCTGATAACAAGGATAACTATAGCTAGTTTTTATATAGTTCCTGAATATTTGCAAAGCACTTTACAGATATTATCTCATTTCATACTCACAAAAACCCTGGGAGGTAGATGTTATTGTTTTCCCCATTTTATAGATGTGTAAACTGAGACCAGAAGAGTTAAATGACTTGCCTAGGGTCATACACAACTAGATGTGTCTGAAGCAGGATTGGAACATTCCTGACTCCTAGAAGAAGTCAGAGCTCAATGCACTGCTTCATGTAGGTCACCACATAACTGCCCCTAAGCTATTACTGTCTTCCCAATAGAATGAGAAGCCCACTGAAGACAGAGACCGTTTCGTTTTTGTCTTTTTATGCCCAGGACCTAACATAATGTCTTGTACACAGTAGGGATTTAATAAATGTTTCATCATTTGAACTGGCTGTCTGCAAGGTTTCTGCAAATGGCAGTGTTATCTGTGTTAGCTAGTAATGGGTACACCATCAAAGCAGGATAAGCCTCATCCCTGAAATTACACATTTAGAGTTTCATTCCTTTGGCTTATCTGAAACCCACTGAATGGAGGGGTCAATTTGTACACTGTTTTCTGTTTTTGAATCAGAAGAGCCCTCAATGACAAAGTCTCTTCTCTCGCCAAACCTCAGTCTTTGATTATTTCTACCATCAGCTTCCTTTTCTTCTACTCACAAAGCCGTTGAATAAAGTTGGAGGAAGTCTCACGACTGTGCTGAGTGGATACATTACAAATTCTTGTTTTCAACTTCAACTGGACTCTCACTGCAGCAAGGCAGTCCTTGGATTCCTCCCTAGCTCACTAACCATGGAAGCTCTTCCAGACCTTTTCTAATCTCCTCAAGCCCCTTCACACAGGGGTATGCTGGTGAATGTTTAACAACCAGCTTCCCCCCCCCCCAAAAGTACACATGACACATTTTAAAATTTAATGTACATCATTAACATTTTCTCCAACACTTTCTTAAGTCTGGACAATCCACAAAGTACAAATCAAGCCCTAATTTGTAACATTTTTCTGACTTTTGAGGGGTAAATGTTCACACTGAAAATTTAACAGTTGGCTTTCGGGAGCCGGAACAAGCTGGTTCCAAAATACCCATGTCCCATACTTCCTCCTAACCCTCCCCCCACCCCCTTCAGCTGAAGACCTTGCCTCTTACTGTAATGAAAAAAAAAAATTAAGGCTAATGTAGCACTCACTTTTTCTATTCTCTTCATTTTAAAACCCTTTGACATCTCCCATTCTCTTTCCTTTCCCCTAGGTGGCCCTTCTCCTTGCCAAGGCCAATCTCTCTACATGTGCCCTTGATCTCATCACCTCCTTTTTCTCCAGAAGATTTCATCCTCAATCAACTCCCTCCCCTTGAGTCTTCAGCCTCTATTAACTGATTAATTTCCTACTGACTTTAAAACATGCCCAATCTCCCCATCCTTAAAAAGCTTCACTAGCTAGAGAGGATGTGGGAAAACTGGGCACTAATGCATTGTTGATGGAGTTGTGAACTGGTCCAACCATTCTGGAGAACAATTTGGAACTATAGCCAAAGGGCTATAACACTGTGACACAGCAATACCACTATTAGGTTTGTTTCCAAAGAGATTTTAAAAAAAGGAAAAGGATCTATTTGTACAAAAACATTTATAGCAGCAGCTCTTTTTTTGTGGTAGCAAAGAACTGGAAATTGAGGGGATGCCCATCAATTGGGGAATGGCTGAATAAGTTGTGGTGCATGATTGTGATGGAATACTATTGTACTGTAAGAAAAGTCAAGTGGGATGGTTTCAGAAAAAACTTGGGAAGACTTATATGAGATGATGAAAAATGAAATAAACAGAACCAGAACATTGTACACAGTAACAGCAATACTATAACAATGATCAAGTGTGAACAACTTAAATACTCAAGACAATGATCTAAGGCAATTGCAAAGGAATCATGATGAAAAGTCCTACCTATCTCCAGAGAGGGAACTGATGAACTCCGAGTACAGATTGAAGTATAATTTTTCAGTTTCTTTATTTTTTTTGCACTCTTCTCCTCTCCCTCTATACCAAGTATTCTTAACTTGGGGTCCACAGACTCCCTACTCTGTAAGGTCTTTGATAGATTTCAAGAAACCTATAAACTTAGATGGGAAAAATTTACATCTTTATTTTCACTACCCTTGAACTGAAATTTAGCATTTCTTTCAATCATGAAACCATTATTTTGAGGTGTTCATAAGCTTTACCAGACTGCAAAAGGGATCCATAGCACCAAAAAGTATAAGAAACCCTGCTGTTTTCTTCATAAACTCATCAGCTCCCATGGGTTTAACTATTATCTCTATGTAGACGACTCCCAGATCTGTATTTCCAGAGCCAGTTTTTTTCCCCCAGCTTGTCCTGCCAATTAATTCAAAGTGGATGTCCCAGAGACATCTTAAACTCAACATGTCTAAAATTAAACTTATCTTTCTCCTTAAACCTTCTCTTTTTCCAGTCTTCTCTATTTTTGTTGAAAGCACCTTTCCCCTGACTCAGGTTCATAATCTCAACATTATCCTGGATTCCTCACTTTCCCTTGGCCCCCGTATCCAATTGATTGCCAAATTTTGTCTTTTCTACCTTCACGGCATCTCTCAAACATGATCCCTTTTCTCCATTCAAATGGCTACCACCTTAATTCAGGCCTTCATCACCTCTTACCTAGATAATTGCAACAGCCTCCTTATTATTTCTCACCACTCATCATCCCACACACTGCTGTGAAAATAATTTCCTTTAAGTACAGATTTGACCATGTGATTCCCTTCCCAACCAACTCTACTGTTTCCTATTGCCTCTAGGACAAAATAGAAACTCTTCTGTTTAGTTTTTAAAACCCTGCACAACCTAACCCCAACTGATCTTTCCAGCCTCAATGTACGTAGTTCCCTTTCCACATCCTTCTGTCCATCCAGACTGGCCTTCTTTCTGTTCTTCACACAAGACACTCCATTTTTCCTGTCTCTGTATCTTTGTCCTGGATGTTTTCCATCCGTGGTGCTTTATTAAGCACCTATTATGTGCTAGGTGCTGGAATTCACTGGAACTTCTTCCTTCCCTCTCCCTCTAGAGTCCTTTTGTCTTTCTGAGGAAACTCAGGTACCATCATCCTGTTAACATGAAGCCTTTCCTGATCTTTCCAATTGTTAATATCCTCCCTCCCAAACTACCTTATATTTAACTACTTTGTATCTATTTGTATTTATTAACTTTTTATTTATGATGTCTTTATATTTTTATATGTACTTTTTCTTTCCCTCATTAGAATGTGAACTTCTTTCAGGTAGGGATTATTTAGTTCCCTGTGTTTGTATCCACAAGCACCCAGTTCTTAATAGATGCTGGTTGACTGAAGCATTGAACTTTTCTTCACTGTGAGTAGGTTATCAGAACCTTTCCAAGGCTTTAAGGCAGGTTTTATAGGACAGTCAAGAGGACAGAACATAAGAAGACTGAATGTCTTGGGCAGAGGGTGGAGGGTGGGAAGGAGGGGGAAAGAAACTGTAACAGGCAGGAAGGATGATTAGGGAAGGCCTAGAACTCTGTTGCAGTAGTTAATCTTCTGTAGATCCATGCAATTACTGTTATAGGATCATCTATCATATCCCAGGCTCAAGATCTTTTTAGACTGTTGGTAGCAAAAATTCTGTGAAAAAAAAAACAAAACCTGTCTCACTTTCAAAAACAACCACACCAGGGAACAAACTGGCAAGAAACAATGCAGATGTGTGTAGTATAATGAAAATAATCCTGGTCTGGGAGTCAGGAGAGTTGATGGTTTTGGTAAAGGCTAGCTGTATGACCTTGGGTAAATTACTTAACCTCTCTGGGCCTCAGCTTTCTCATCTATGATGTGACAACAGAGTTGAAAGATTCCTTCCAGGACTTAGATTTTTTCAACTTACCAGGTGCTTTCTGGTGCCTCAGTCCACTGATTTTCAGTATTCCTGAAATGGTATTTATGTTCCTCCAAAACCATTTATTCATTCAACAAACACATATTAAGCATCTACTATGTACATACCACTGTTCTATGCATTGAATGAGATAGGAAATTTAGATAAGATACCATCAAAATCCTCTTGAAGATAGTAATGAAAGTAGGGAATAAGATGCAAACATTTTGTTTGTTTCCAGATGAGAAAAGGAGCAGGAGAAAGTAGAAGTCAGGTGAGAAGGTCAGGAGGGTCTCTTTCCAACTTTTCTAACTTAACTTTTACACAGGGAAGTTCTTTTCTTTAAAATTTTTTTCTCTGTGTGGCCCTTGATAATAGCCTTACCTTTTAATGCATTCAAAGAAGAGAGACTGTCTCTGTTCGAAATTCACATTCCTTGATTGGCTTGAGTAGGACAATGAAAAGAGTTCTGAAGTCAGAGGATCTGGGCCCAAATCTCACCTCTGACACTGTCTACCTGTGTGATCATGGGCAAATAACTAAACCTCAGCGTGCCTCAGTTTCTTTGTCTGGAAAATGAGTGGATTGGATGAAATGGCTTCTGAGGTCTCTTGGCACTCTCGAACTATGCTCCGATGACCCAGCCATTGACTATTGGGCTAGGATTTTGCTGCTTCTTTCCCAACATCTCTGCACTGATGACAGTGATCTGGGCCCCTGGTACTTGGCTGCTACCTTCTTTCATCAGAGAAGAGGATGGGGGGGGTGGTAGTGGGAAAAGGAGGTTCAGACAGATATATTGAACTTAGAAACATTTACTATTTTCTCCTTACCTGTTTTGGTCTGACAAAAGAGAAAGTGAAAGTGGAGGAAGAAAGCCTGTAGTATAATTCCCAGTCTCTGGGGAAATTCTTCATTTTTAACCATATCGAAAGAATCAACCAAACCATAGCAGGGATTTATTGTGTGAGTCAGGTCTCCATTGGTGCTATTAATTATTTACATGGCTTGGCTCTGAAGAGGTCTGGGTTGCATCAGGACCTGAAATACATTATTCATGCAGGTCTGGTTCCTACAGGTTTTTATTATCAACTTGGGGCTAGAACTCAAAATCAGCTCCATCTACAGGGAAAGGTTCCTGTTGTCACCAAGGGCATGCATCTTTGCATCTTCTCTCCAGGCTCCAGTCTCAACACCTGCTGATGTTCTTTATAGAGGTATGGGGATGACACAGATGTTTGGGATGGAAGGACAAAGATAAAGGGGATATTTTCAGTGGGTGGGGGTAATCAGGTGACTTCAGTGACAAAGGTATTTGGGGCTGAGACTGAAAGTCAGACTGGTCTTAGGCAGTTTGGAAGAATAGAAAATGCTGTGAAGTCCAAGGTTTCTGTCCAAGGGAGGGAATAGTATAGAACCTGGGGCTAAACATGGTAGGCCCATAGGCTAATTCTTTTTTTTTTTAACGTAATTTATTATTCATTTATTAGGATTTTTCTTTTTAAATTTTGAGTTCCAAGTTTTCTCCCTCCCTCCCCCATTCCCCCGCTCTGAGAAGGTAAGCAAAATTATATCAGTTACACATGTGAAATCATGCAAAACGTTAGCCATATTTTTTTTTAAATAAAGAAAAATAAAGAAATCGGTTCTTTTCCTTTTTCTGTAATCTTTTTTGGGATACAGACTTAGCAGTAGTACTACTGGATCAAAGGGTATGCACAGTTTTATAGCCCTTTGGGCATAGTTCCAAAGTGTTCTCCAGAATAGTTGGACCAGTGCACTACTCCACCAACCGTTCACTAGTATACTTATCTTTCCCTCATCCCTCACAGCATTTGTTATTTCTGATGGGTGTGAGTTTTTTAAATTTTCATTTCTCCAATCAATAGTGATTTAGAGAATTGTTTTCATATGACTATAGATGGCTTTAATTTCTTCTTCTGAAAACTGCCTGTTCATATTCTTTGACCATTTATCAATTGAGGAATTGCTCTTCTTTTTATAAATTTGACTCAGTTCTGTATTCAGTATATATTTGAGAAATGAGGGCTTTATCAGAGAAACTCGCTGTAAAATATCTTGATATTACTTCATTGTCAATGGTACCTTTTGGCATAATGTAGTTTCCCTGATTATCTCTTTTAATTAGGTTTTTTTTTGCTTTTTTGATCGTGATTGCTACTTCTGCCTTTTTTACTTCAGCTGAAGCATAATAGATTCTGTTCCAGCCCTTTATTTTAACTGTATGTCTTTCTGTTTCAAATGTCTCTTGTAAACAACATATTGTTGGATTCTGGTTCCTAATCCATTCTCTTGTCTGCTTCCATTTTATAGGTGAGCTCATCCCATTCACATTCATAGTTAAGATTACTGTGTATTTCCATCTATCCCATTTTCTTCTGTTTCTTCCTCTTTTTCTTTTTGTCCTGTTCCTCAAAAGTCTATTCTGCTTCTAACCACTGCCTCTTTTAATTTGCCCTCCCTTTGATCATCCTCTCCCCCTTTCCCTTCTACTTCCTTGTTAGATAAGATAGATTTCTATACACAGTCGACTATGTGTGTA